TACGTTAGCGATTTATTACTATGTTTATGTTGATCGTTGGAATCTCAGTATATAAGCTTCACCATGATATTTCAATGTCAATGTAAAATACCTTTTGAAAAGACCACAAGAATTTACCACCGAAATAGACAGAAAGAATCTTCTATTTGGCTCTCCTATCTTTATTTTTAGTCAGTCAGCTCAATATATAAGTACTTACTTCCAATGCATAAAATTGACAAATGACAAACAAGCAGCATTGTAGTGCATGTAATTTGCACTATAGTATGCCATAATATTACTTAAAATCATCCAAGAATTGGTAAAACATCACAATCCGATATATAAATGAAAAAAAAAACGTTAGAAAAAAAAATGTCATACTTTTAAAGCTGTTTGACATCAAGAGTTTTGTAACTAAAATACTAAATGTTGAAGATGGTATTAGAAACTGAAGTTGAAATTCTGAAGTCCTATAACATATACATTAAGATACTAAGGTATTTGATCTCATGATTGTTCTTTTTCTACTATTATTTTCTTGTATGTTTATATCCAACCATTGCACATTTTATTCAGAAAAAGAATCAATTTCTCCAAAGACCCCCAAAAAACTGATGGAGCAGCTTCTACACAGAGGAAACAAACATATTACAAATTTCAATATATTTCTCAAGTGTATGAAACAATAGACCCACAAATTAGACAGATCTCATGAAAACAAACGTTGTCCAATATGTCTTACTTTTTTTTTTCTAAAAACATTTCTTCTCCCATTTTCAATTTATTTGTCAAGTATAAGAAACAATAGACCCACAAAATTAGATTAACCTCATGAAAGAAACGTTTCCCAATATGTCTTGTTTTCTTCAAAAACATTTCTTCTCCATGCCCTTTTTCCTTCTTCTTGTATTACCCATTTTTCAAAAATGGAAGAGAGAAAAAAATCAGACGAAATTACCAATCATCTTTCCTCCTCAGTAGGAAACATTCATCATTGTACCCAACAATCACTTTCATCCTTAGAATCAAAAACTTCTTCTTCCTTTTCACTCTTCTTTCATTTACACATTTACATTTACACAATTACACTCATACATATATACTACTATATACGACACTTATACATACATACATTTACGTTCCACTCTCTATATAACCTTTTGATTCTCCTCTTCCCCTTTTCCCTCTCCTCCAATTTCCTCACCTCTCTCTCTCTCTCCCTTGGTATCTTTTCATTTTGATCAGATCTTTTAACATGGATCCGTCCTCTGCAAGCTCAGTGAACGGATACTACTCATTTCTAAACAGATCAATGGATGATCTCGAGAGGGTTTATCTCTCAAACAACTTCATGTCCGTACACTTCTTACAGAGAGCTCTCTGTCTCCTCCGCACCTCTCACTCTCACCTCACTCTCCTCGTTCAGAAACTTAACCTCCCCGTCGGTGACAAATGGCTCGATGAGTATATGGACGAAAGCTCCAAACTTTGGGAAGCTTGCCTCGTCATCAAGTCCGCCGTGTCTTCCATCGAAAACTTCTCCTCCGCCGGAATTTCAATCGCTTCGACCCTCGACGGTCACTATCACCACCGTCGTCTCTCCCCTCAGCTTTCTCGTCAGGTGGGTACTCGTAAAAACTGAACCTTTATTCTTTTTGCGATCAAAGTTTAAAACTTCAATCACTCTGTTTTTTTGTCAGCAATTACTCTGTTTTTTTGTCAACAATTACTCTGTTTTTTCAGTTACTCTGTTTTTTTTAAAAGTGCTCTGTTTTTGTTGTGGTATTAATGGTGGTTCAGGTGATAAGAGCGATCACAGGGTGTAGGAGAGAGGCGATTGGGATAGAGGCAGAGAACAGAGCTTTGATGGAGAATCGAGTTCAAAGGTTTCCGTTTTGGTCTGAGCAGACGGCGGTGACGGTGATGGAGTCGTCGACGAAGTTACAGAATGGTTTCAGTGGTTTTCGCGGCGTGCTGTACGCGACGAGGAACATGAGTTCGCTTCTACTCATGGTTCTGATGAACGGTTTAGTCTACTGTTCTCCCGGTGAGGTATCGCAAACGCAGACGCAAACGCAGAATCATCAGGTCAGTGGTTTCGCCGGAGCGATGGGGAGGTTGCAGCAGAGAGTTGCGGCAGAGGTGGGGAGAGCGGGGATGAGGAAAGGGATATTGATGCATGAGTATAGGAGGAGCAAGGCGGCGTTGGAAGAGCTTAAGGCGGAGCTTGAGCGGAGAGGAGGAGGAGGGGAGAGCGAGGAGGAGGGAGAGAGGGAGCTGAGAGAGAGAGTGGAGAATATGAAAGGGTATTTTGGTAATTTGAGGAATGGGACAGAGAGTATAGTGTCGCAGATCGATGATTTCTTTGATGAAATTGTTGAAGGAAGGAAAAAGCTTTTGGATTTCTGCAGCCATAGATGAAATATCAAAAGCTGACATTTTTTCAGTTTCATAAAGATGAAAAAAAAGAATTTGGGTAGACTCTAGGCTTAGAGGAATCATTTGGTAGGAGTTGTTGTAAGTTGTAACTTCTTTTTTCTTTGTCATGAAAAGAAAATGTTGATTCGTCAATCTGCTATTTTAGTATTTTGATGTTTATATTTATAATTCTAGAAATGGAGTTTATTCTCTGAATCATATCAAAAGTAAATGTCTTCTTTTCAGTTTTGGTTCCAGCCCGTTGAAGATGTTTGTTGTTCAGTCATATTTGAACACATTAAAAAAAAGTGTTAAAACATATACTCAGAGCCGTGCCTCCGTGAGATCAAATTAAACCCTCGCTTAGGGCAACCGATTTTTATAAAAAATTAAGGCCATCATCCAAGACTAATCATAGGTATAGACTAAGGGTATAAAATTATTATAAGAAACATTAGTCTATGCGATGATAGCATTTAGGTAATTAGAATAAAGAAATATTGGAAGTATGATAAAAATTTGAGTTTCTTAAATAACAAAATGAAAACAGTTACTACTTATTAAAAAAATACTAAAAATAGAATAGTTAGATGCTTTCTAAATGTTTTTAATGCTAAAACAGATAAAATTGTATCATTTTGAGTATTGCATAAGAAACATTGACTTATTTTATTTGTCAAAAAAAACACTGACTGATTTTATCTCTAAATCCAACTAAAAAGAATTGTTTTGTAAAAATAGATAATAATTTTTGTAATTAATATTTTATTTATTAATTTAATTTAAATATTTATACTCTATAGTAATCGGTATTATTATTTTTAATGCATAAGTTTATATGAAATTTTTTCTCGCTTATGATAGCTATAAACCTTCGCACGGCTCTGCATATACTCAAATATGGAGTTTAGATTTGTGTTTGTCCAAAAAAAGAAAGATTTGTGTTTGAATGGATATTAAAAGCCTTCAAGTTTATAGATGGATTCATAAGAGGATAACCGAATGCTCATCTTATGTTTATCACACAACGTTAAGACATTTTAAGCTGTAAGTAATATTGGACTTGTAGTGGATTTTTTTTCACACTGAAAATACAAAAACAAATCTTAGTACGTACCCACAAAATGACCGACGTGTTAACATATGAAAAACATGATTTCTGGTATGAGCATGTCTTCCAAGAAATTCCACTTGTGTATTACTGGACTTGCCATGGATTTATGGAATTCATTTGTTAATATAAATAGCTATAATATATTTTTGAATTTTGTATATTATTTCATTCATCGAACTCCACTAGATTAAATGACTCGATTAATAGCTCAATATTAATAAAGTTTATGAAATTTTAAGGAACGCAAAATTTAAAAATATTTGTAACATGGTCTACAAATACATACAAGATCTTACAATACCATATATTAAACACGCAGTTTAGAATCGTTAATTGAGTAAATACCATATTGTGGTTAGATTTTATATATAGCTATATGACAACAGTCGTGCCTCAGAGTGATAGTTTAGTGAGTTATTTTTTATCAATATCCACCTTCACTAAGAGGACCATATATCATTCGACTATCACAACATAATTAAAAACAAATGGTTAAAAAAGAGGTAGTCAAAATGGAGTGCTTGTTGTCTCTTTGAGATAGTTGGAGAAGAAAAGTAGTGAACAAAGCCACTGATCAAGAAAATTTGATTTGATTTTATTCACTTAGAGGAGGAAGCAGAGAGATTAATTTGAATGGTGATTTTGTGGTGTTAATCAATGATAATGATGAAAATGGATCCTTTCTAAAGCAGCTTTGTGTTTTGATTCTTTGGCACTCTCATCTAAGTTTATATGCTTTGGGCACACCTTTGGTGGCTTTGTGTCAATTAATTATTGATTACTACCAATTTCACACCCTAAATCCTTCCCCACCCACTGTTTAAAAACACTCCATCTTTACTTCTTTAAGTTTCTAAAACTTATTTTAATATTTGCTTTACACACAATTCACTCATCTTTGCTTTCTCCTTTTTCTACACAAAAGAACATCTTTGACAAAATATTCATTTTTTTGTATCTATGAGTAAATCTCAACCCTTGAGAATCACTTGGTATATGTGTATCAATCAAGTACCAAAAGTGTCAATTCAATTGGTATTCCTTGAGTTTCCAGTATATACAAAAAAACAGTCGAACCCACTAGAAATATTATTGCAAACACCAATATGTCAAACCTATTTTATTGAATATCAAAAACGAGTCCAGAACAATTCATTTAATACATGGCTATAAATTGTTTTACTATCTATTCTACGCCATAATAACAATCATCCCAGAAGCCTTGACTTCCTTAAGTGCATACAACAGAATAGAATTCACATGATGTTTGTAAATCCAAACGGATTTTAGTAAAAGAAAGCTTTCCTTTTTCAGTCTAGAAAACTTATTTACTAAATAGAAAAAACAAAATTTCATCTGTACGCTTACTAACTCTAAGAACATCATCAAGATTATTGGCATCAATTAAGAAAGACCTGTCTCTTTCGCCTTCAAAATTAATTTATCTTGATAATTTTTTTTTTTGAAAAACCCATTAATATAAGTAAACAATATGGAAGACAGAAGTGTATATGTTAATATAATATTATAGATGAGTACATAAGTCACTATCCAAAACCAAAAACATGGAGAATCTAAATGCTTTTAGACTCTCACCAGAATTCCATGCTTTGCCTCCCAAGTAGGATACCAACTTTCTCAGCTGATTTACCAAATAAACATTACAATTTACCAAATGCAATGATCATAAAAAAAACATATTCATAACAAAAACTATGTATTATTCCTTTTGTCACCATTTTCCATTTTCTTTCCTCGTCAGAAAGTAATGATTTTCCCTTAGGAAAAAGCAATGATTGAGGTCAGAAGCAAGTTTTCCTCTGGTTACAGACATTATACGTGTTCCCCAACACATAAACATCCTGAAATTACAGCTAATTTTCCAGAATTTGTTTTTTTTTTCTATTTTATTACCATTTGAAAAGATCATAAAGGGATATACTAAACACACCTCCAATGACTATGTACACACGCCTTGAAGAATTACAACCATAGCAAGACAGGGAACTTTATTTTTTTTCCCCCACAAATGTTGATCTAAGTTTTACCAAACTTACTGAATGTAAATAGCTGACATTGTAATAATAGAGAAATAGGTGGATTTAGATTACCATGGCAACAAAAATGAGGGAGGTTGTGCTGTCACTTTCTTTCCAGGCTGCTCACATGTCAAACGCAGGCATTGCAAACTGAGTAGCAAAAGCCTCAACTTGGTTCCTAAGATCTGCAATGTCTTTACAGTGATAGATGCTTTTGAGTGGTTCCCTCTGCGACTTCCCCTGCTCCAGCTCCCTTTGTGCGGCACTTGCTATCAGGGCAGCTCTATACAGAAACTCAGCCATTGTCTCAAAATCTGATTCTAGACAACCCCTTGAAGTCATAGCCGGACTACCTGAACCACAGATTACATTAAGCCCATGTCAAGAATCAGACAGGAAGAAAAAAACACGAATTTAATCCTAGTTCCAGAATCCATAGTATGATAGTATTTCCACGATCATTTAATTTACCTATTCTCACTCCTCCAGGGGAAATAACACCATTTTCACTGAATATGGCGACTTTGTTGACCGTGATATGGCACATCTCGCATACTTTCTCATAGACCTTGCCTGAAACCACAAGCTTAAGTATTTGAGTCGCTTTTGGACACACAACTAAACATATGCATTGTACATAGAAGTTTTGTTATGATCTCAAACAAGTTTGATTATAAAATTAAGTGATAATAGCTTGTATACACTTAAAGTCACATAGAGCTGAAGTAACTAATCATATACCTGTCAAGCCCAAAGGAGTTAGATCCCAAAGTATCAAATGATTATCAGTGCCATCTGTTACCAACTTGCAATTTTTACTTTTCAAAGCAGATGCTAAAGCCTTTGCATTTTTCTTGACCTGTCGCATGTAAACCTTATACTCTGGTGAAGCGGCCTGCTTGAGGGCAATGGCTAGAGCAGCTATATGGTTATTGTGAGGACCTCCTTGCAGCGATGGGAAGACAGAAAAGTTTATTTTCTCTTCAAAATCATACTGGATATTGCTGTCACAGTGATTAAGATTTATGCTTTGCTTCTTGCCCTTGAAGCCTCTCCTGTAGAATATGATACCTCCCCTAGGTCCACGGAGAGACTTGTGTGTCGTTGAGGTAACTATATCGCAATAATCAAATGGATTTGGACTTTCCTACATCATTTACAGAAACCAAAACATTCATGATCAATGTTCAAGAAATCGATTTACGAATTACTGATTTATTTTATTTATATTTTACATTGATATAAGATATTTAGAACCTAATGTTCATGATAATGATACTTAAGCCTCAATTTTTAATGACTGATGCCAAGGAGTGAGAATAAACCATTACCTTAGCAGCCACAAGACCACTAATCTGCGCCATATCAAACATAAGAACAGCTCCACATTTGTCTGCAACATACCTAAACCTAGGAAAATCCCAGTCTCTCGGATAAGAACTCCCTCCACAGATAAGTATCTTGGGACGATAATCAAGCGCCTTCTCCTCAAGCTTCTCGTAATCAATAAACCCTGTACGAGGGTCCACCTTATAAGGAAAACTCTCAAAGAATATAGACGCACCAGACACCTTCTTCCCACCAGGTGTATAATAGCCATGACTCATATGCCCACCAGACGGCGAATCCAACCCCATGATCCTCTCACCAGGCAACAAAAGACCAGAGAAAACAGCGAAGTTGGCGGACGTGCAAGAGTAAGGCTGCACGTTAACACCCCAATGCTCAGGGCTTAGACCGAAAGCTTGGAGTGCACGTTCTATACAAAGATTCTCAATCTGATCAATGTTCTGGTTGCCTGTGTAGTATCTAGCTCCAGGCATGCCTTCAGAGTATTTATTAGTTAAATGGCTTCCTAAAGCTTCCATCACTGCTCTACAGACGAAATTCTCGGAAGCTATGAGTTCGATTCCTCGAAACTGTCTATGTTTCTCCTTCTCCATAAGGTCGTGGATCTCAGGGTCTGCTTGTGAGAGTGGCTGGTCTCCCCAGGCTTTCACGGAAGCTCGTCTACTCTCTGGATCAACTGCGAATCGTTTACACGGGCTTGGTGATCGCATTGAGCTGCTGCTGGTTCCTCTGCATCGTTTTAGCTTCAAAGATTGTCCCAAGAGGATGAACTCTTCTTCCCTCAGATGATCGTCGTCTTCTTCTTCTTCAAAGTCTTCGTCTTTATCGACGAGGACGCGGGTACGAGACCCGGTGGAGTCGAATCTCTGCTCGAGGAGCTGGAGAGGGACGGGAGGGGTTGGATTAAGGGAAGGGCGGAAGCTGGAGTCGATTTGAAGGGTGATTGAGTCGTCAGCGATTGGGATTCTCTGAGGAGGTAGGGGTAAGGCGTGGGAGTTAGTGAAGCCTAAAGAGAGATCCGATTGAGATGCACGGTCCATGATCGAAAAAAACCCTAGAAGAAAGGTTGTTCCTTTTTCGAGGATCGAATCAACAGAGAGAGAGATAAAGGAAGCTTCTTTTAGGGTTGTGTACTGAAGAGGTTGGAGTTTCCATACAAATTTGGGAGAAACCCTAAAAGATCAAAAGCCCTGAGGGGAATCGAATTCGGATCTATTTGGATGGACGGAAGCTATGAGCTTATGGATGGGGGGGGAGGAAGAAGAGAATTTTGGGGGAAATTGGAAGAAATAAAATGAAATAATGAAAATGAAGTTTAATGGAAGGGCTACCGGTTGAGTAGGTTGGAGATGGAAGTGATTGATTCTAGGCGGCGACTGTTGTTCTAACCGAGGGTTAATGAGGAAAACCGGTGGTAGTCGGTGGTTTCTTTCTGTTTTTGTAGATAACCCAATCAAATCCCAACAAGTAAACAACAATCTTAATTAATTTGTTAAGTTCTTAATATTAAAACTGTTACGAATAGTTTAGTCATATTAATAAAGTAGAACATTACTCTCGTAATTCCGCATCATTTCTCATTTCTACATTATTGATTTTCACCACTGGATGTAAACAACTTCAAAGCTGAGATGAAGGTGGTATTGGTTTTATGATGATTCATGAGTTTAACCTGGTGCTACTGGCAAAACAATTATGGCAACTAGTACAAAACCCGGATTCTTTGGTTGCTCGTATCCTGAGAGGTCGGTATTATAGATTGAGTACGCCTTTGCGTCAAATCAATACTACCAGTCCCTCATATGTGTGGACAAGCATATCGGCCGGAAGAGAATTGCTACTATTAGGAATTAGACAAAAAATTCATGTGGGGGTATGAGGTTAAAGTTTGGGAGGATCCTTGGATTCCTACTATTCCTGCGAGACCGGCAATCCCTTTGACACCGTTTCTGCATCCGAATATGCATGTGAGCGATTTGATTAACCAAACAACGAAGACTTGGGATGAAAGACGACTTCAGGATTACATTAATGCGGATGACATTCCACTCATCAAGAGCATGGTTATTAGTTCCACACACCGACGGGATACGTACTGCTAGAGGTATACAAGGACTGGACAGTATACCGTTAAATCTGGATACTGGGTATCACGAAATATGAAACTGAAGTATGTGAGCCTAGTATCACAAAGCTCCAAGCACATGCGTGGAAGGTCAAGGCTCCCCAAAAGATTTGCCATCTTATGTGGTAGGTGATCACAGGACATGTAGCTGTCACAAGCATTTTAAACTACAAGCATATGAGATGTGACAACCACTGTCCTCGATGTGGGGAGCCAGAGGAGACGATCACACATGCAATATTCGAATGTCCACCTGCTTTACAAGTCTGGGCGCTATCATCTACGCCTATCAATCCAGCTATGTTTCCAGTTCAAAGCACGTACGCGAATATGGATTATCTGTTCTGGCGGAAGAATGCAATAATGGAACCGGAATTGGATAAGGATCCTTATCCTTGGCTAATCTGGTACATTTGGAAGGCTAGGAATGATAAGTTATTCTGAGGCATTGATATGGATCCATTGGAAGTGGCGCGATATGCAGAGAGTGAATGCCAAACATGGTTCCAAGCAAATGAGCAGGAAGTACCGTCTCCTCTTGGGGATGAAATAGGTGAAGACCAGGCCTCAAGCTTGGGAAACATCTGCATGGTGGATGGATCTTGGACTTCAACGGACTCCTTTAGTGGATGTGGGTGAGTTTTGAATGATACTTCTGGAAATAGCCAGCTACTGGGGGTGCGTAATTTTGATCGCGTGGAATCGGCGTTGCATTCAGAGTTGGAAGCACTGTGGCGGGCAATGGAGAACATGCTTCAACATTCGCCATGTCAGAGCTTTGGAACTGATCGTAAGGAGATGATCGAAATGCTCAGGAATCCTCAGGCATGGCCTCAACAGAGTTGGAAAAGTTGATGACGCTGAAGATCTGCTTTCTAGACTTCAAGATCTCTTATGTTCCTAGACGTCAGAATGGCGTTCTGATTCTTTAGCTAAGTTAGCTAGGTCATTTTATCGTAAGCTTGTGTACGTTGGTTGTTCTGTTCCGGTCTGGTTATCCAGACCACCTCAAGTCGTTTGAGTAATAGAACAGCCGTTTGATGTCAAAAAAAAAAAACAAATACTTCTGAAAATTTTGATATAATATCGTGTTTATCAATAAAAAAATAAATAGAATTTGATAGTTCACATAAACACAGAATATTTAATTTTTCTGAAAAAATATTAATCAGCATGGGTAAATTTGTGTATTAGCCAGCATAAGTTCAAAAAAAAAATCTTAAGATGTGACACATATACAAACTTGATAATCCACGTCCATGCACATAATGAATTTTAGTTACTAACAATTGCATATTATTCTTTTTAAAACAATTATATCGTGTTATAAGTTCAAAATTATTGCTTATTGTAGATCTATACTATAATGATGCTATATAGCGGACAAAGATCTTATAATGATGTTACTTAGCGAAGAAACATCTTGATAAACTGGTTTTATAAAATTCCAAATTATTATATATTGGAAATAAAATAATACATAAGACAATCCATTTTGATATTTTTTTTACCAGATGTAAAAATGATAAACATTGAGAATGATGATTTGCAATCGAAAAGAGAATTAGGGTCTTGGTTGATCTCAAACTTTTTTGACTCTCAAATGGTTATTTTAATTTAAATCCATAATATTTGTGTTTACAATAGCGTTTTTTGTTAACTCACATCTGTTTTGTCTTATATTTTAATTTCGCACAAGCTTTTATGAAATCATGAACATCGATCGATTAATACTATAAGAAAACGTGGGCTTAACGACCACATATTGCGACCACAAAACTCTGATCGTAACATTACGTCTGCGTTACGACTAGATAACAACTAAAAATTTAGTCGTCGTAAAGTGGTCGTAAAATTGGGACCAAGACTTTTGGTCGTAAATAGAAGGTAAAGTAACCTCTGTTTTACGACTAAATAAAAATGTGGTCGTAAAAAAGTGGTTACTCGACTACAATTTTACGACTAAACTTTTAGCATCTCATTTACGTCTGCTTTACGTCAAACAATAGTTAATTCATAGTAAAATGATATCTGGTAGTAAATTTTTGGTAACATTTCATGTCAAAATTTCCCTATAAATATGGTCTCATCTCTCATTTTTAGATACACCAAAAAAATAATGAAACAAGTTTGTGTAAAAAAAATGTCACGAGATATTTATGAGCTTCGGAGTTGAATGTATGCACATAAAGATTCTGAGGGAAACGTGACAAACGAGTTCCTCAACGGGGCAGAAATATTCATGTACCAGGTCGGAAACATGCATCTCACAACATTTACCTTCGAAAAGTTACCTTCAGGAGAATCATGTGGTAAATCATGATAGGATGCATGATATGGTTACTGATGCATCTTGTGAAACAAACTCAGTAACTGCTGCATAGGTAGCAGAAAATGTAGAGGTAGCAGTAGAAATGTAGAGGGTCTAATTTGGAAGTCAAAAGATTTTATGACATGTTAGCCGCCGTAAATCAGCCAATTTATGAAGATTGTAGAGAAGGTCTTGCTAAATTATCATTGGCAGCTAGGATGATGAATATCAAAACTGACTATAACTTACTCGAAGTTTGTATGTATGCATGGGCTGAGTTGTTTAAAGAGTATTTACCTGAAGATAATGTGTGTGTTGAATCTTACTATGAGATTCAGAAGTTGGTTCATAGTCTTTGTAGGAGGTGGGCTGTACCCACCCCTCAGGGCCCACAGGAAGTCTTACTCGGCCCAATAAGGGAGGAGTCACCAACGACTAACAGTCAATCGGTTGGAGGATTAAGCTATAAAAGGCGAAGAGGGGAGCACGAAGAAGGGATCCAAAAAATAGACTCACTAGGCGGCGACTCAAGTTAGAGTTTTCTTACCTTGTTTACTTTGTTGTCACCGACTAGTCCGTACGTTATCTCCGGCCAAGCTCTCCGAGAACCGGGGACTCTCTCTGTACTCACTTCCCGATTATAAATAAAGCTCCTTTCTTTGCTCATTACTACTTGTACCTTCGTAGTAACTCACCGACGAGTCCAGTCACTCACCTCACTGATACACGACCGAACTCGGTTCAAACAGTCTTGGCTTATCTTCGGAGATGATAGATGTGTGTATAGATAACTGTATGATCTTCTGGAGGGAAGATGCAGAGTTTTTGAAGTGTCGATTTAGCCACAATATAAATCGCAAGGACGTGAATGGAATAGGGTACCGTACCAGCGGATGTGGTACTTACCTATTACGAATAGGCTGAAGAGATTAGATTAATCTGAAAAACTGCAACAACGATGAGATGGCATGCAAAACATACTAAGAAGGAAGGCGAGATCAATCATCCCTCGGATGCAAAAGCATAGAAACACTTGAATTTGGTGCACAAAGATTTTGCAAGCAACACTCGCAATGTTTATCTTGGATTGTGCACATATGGATTTAGTCCTTTTGGAATGTCTGGAAGACAATACTCACTTTGGCTAGTCATCTTGACGCCATACAACCTTCCACCACTAATGTGTATGGAAAGAGAATTCATTTTCATGAGTATATTGATACATGGGCCTAAGCATCCAAAGCGGTCCCTCGATGTTTTTCTACAACCTTTGATAGAAGAATTGAAGGAATTATGGTCAACATGAGTGGAAACATATAGTTGTTCAATGAGAACCAACTTTAAAATGCGAGTCGTTCTTCTGTGGACTATCAGTGACTTTCCTGCATATGGGATGCTATCAGGTTGGACTACGCATGGAGGACGTGGACACGTGTTATCCTAATTGGTCGTAAATCTTGGAACCTAATTGGTCGTAACACAATTTTGGTCATAATGTCGAAGTTAATTATGACTACGTTACGACCACGACAAAATCCCTATATAACCACGCGAGTCGCAGAGCTCATTTCGTTGCTCTTCCCCTCTCACTACCCACCACTTTCCCTCTCTAAAAGGTATGCTTTTTTTTTAATTTAGTTTTAGGGTTTAGGGTTTAGGTGGTTAGTTTAAAGATTTAGGTGGTTAGTTTAGATTTAGGTGATTAATTTAGGATGGAATTAGATTAGTTTTAGAATTATTAGTATTTGATTATTTTAAATTAATTGTGTCTAACTATAATTTTCTTTGTACAGTTCGATCGACGATATGTCTGGGAGAAAGAGATTAAGAAATATTTCGGGGGCA